AAACATATCTACCTAAGGCAACAAACCAAGGAACCACACACAGAGAAAAAAAGTAGATTTAATTATACAAATGTAAAAATCTTCAGATAAACAACAGATTGAAAAATACCTGGCAATCTTAAGAAACAAAATGTCAATGTCTAATCAACAAATTAAAAGGAAAAATAGCTAAGTTGGTGTAATGATTGCCTAGCATGCATGAGAGCCTGGGTCAGAGTCTGGCATAAAATCAAGGTGTGAGAGCACACACTTGTGATCCCACCTCTAGGGAGATGCAGGGGCATGAAAATCAGGAGTTCGAGGTCATCCTCTGTTACAGAGTACGTCATGTGCTAAACTGGGCTCCATGGGACCCTATATAAGAAAAGAAGAGCTAAAAGGAGGGAGAGAGAAGAGAAAGAGGAGGAGAGGAAGGGAAGGAAGGAGAGGGAATGAACACACACATACACACAAACTGTGTTACTAAACACCTTATAATCCCAGCATGCAGGCACCACAGGCAGAAGGACAGAGAGGGTAAGGCCAGCCTGGGTTACTAGTGAATTTGAGGCCAGCCAACTACCCAGAGACTATCAAGGAGGGGAGGAGGAGATAGTGAGGCGAGCACCTCTCCCCAGGGGAGAATTTTCTAAGGAGCTGCTTCCTTCTGTTTCTTCTTCAGTCCTTGAGTGTGCAAGTGCTCACCTTAGGCCTCCCAGTTCCTCCGACTCCTCCTTCAGTCCTCAGTGCTGCCAAGCCACTGACCTCAGCGTCAGCACTTCAAGATTTCTGAGGGTTCTTTTCTCTTTGGCCAAGCTTCGGGCCAACTGCTCCATGGACCTGACTGTCACTCTATCATCGCCCCCCCCCCCCACACACACACACACACTTTCTTTCATTCATTTTTGAGACAGAGTCTTACATGGTCCATGCTGTCCTTCAAATATGTAGCCAAGGATGAGCCTGCGAAGCCCTGCTCCTCCTGCTTCCACCATGGGTACTAGGATTACAGGTAGGCACAACCATGACTTAAAGTGGTGCTTGGACAGAACCCAGCACTTTGTGCACACTAGGCAAGTCCTCCACCAGCTGAACTACACTCAGCTCTGATGATGAAAGCCCACAGCTAAAGTAATTTTGCAATACTTTCAAAAACAAGACCTGACAGGACTTGTTCACTGTAAGGGGGAAAAATGCAAACAACTCTACATTCCAAATCTGCACAGTCAATCCTGGGCCGTGGACACAGCTTGGCAGTAGAGCGGCTGCAAACATGCGTAAGATCCCTTGCACTGCCAAAAAACAGTTAATGTTCGCAAAAGGAGTCCTGGGGGCTGTAATTACTGTTCAATAATGGCTTACCTCTCTTTTTACAAGCTTTCTGCTAAATTCCTGTACATAAAATGTAAAACAAGTAGCCCAGGCATTACCTGGTTAAATTCTATCCCACAAATACCTTTACATAAGGATAAGCACACAAAGGCAACCTATCACTAACCAAAAAAACCTGTTTCTCTTCCTCCTTCAGCACTGTCAGACTGAGAAGGGCCACTGACTGAAGAGTTCCCATGTTGGGAAAAAAAGAGGTGCAGACCCACGACACAGGCACTCTTAGCTGGTCTCTAGTTAAACCAGAGTCTCTGTGCTTTTACAAACCAGAAAAATCTCCTACTTAAAAAAATCTACTTGTGGAAAACTAGAAAAAAAAAAAAAAAAGTCAAATTGCATGCCTCTTATCTTTAGGACAGACACTTTCTCTAAAAATCACATATATTCGAAAGTAGGGCGTAATTCATTCACAGATAATATTCAAAGATTCAACCTTCGTTGGACAGAAGGAGTAGGGTACAGTATTCTTTTGAAAGAGCTGATGAAAAGAAATTTTTCTCTGGGGGTGGTTTCTGTTGCTGAGATAAAATCTCTTGTTGCTGAAGCCGGTCCCAAACTCACACTGACTCTCCTAGAGGGTGGGATTAATGTCCTACATGCCAGGTTCATGCAGTGCTGGGATGGAACCTATGGCCTCACGCACATTAGGCAAGCACTCCACCAATGGAGCAGTACACAGAAACATTTTTCAAATGCAAACCCTCCTTTATTTCCCAGTATAAGGGAAAGGGAGTCTACTTTGGAATCACGTATGGGATTTGTTATCCAACTTACTTTGTTAACTATTCTTGCTGGTGACTCATTTTGGTCTCATCAATGTTAATAAGCAGCTGACTGTAATATAACCATCAGTTTAATTATTGTTAATAAACATATAATCATAATGTCTAACTCAGAGAACAGAAAATGGTACAGTTGAGAGTTCTGAGGTTGTCTTTGGAGGAGGTTTGAAAAAAAAGTACTATTAGGATGCTTTTATTGATTACAAAGCACTATAGACAATGCATTTTGTCTTTCTTCAATGAAATTTCCTAAATTTTAAAAGATAATATTAACTAGAATGTCTTGAAAAAATTTTAGGCAAAAAAATCATATCCATATTCTCGTTTTCTTTATTTTAATAACTAAAGCAATAAATAAAGAAAACCCCTATGGAATACCTGCATTTTTAGAGTTCAACACACTGATTTCTTTCCAAAGAAATTTTGCAAATGATTTACATGATGTGCTTATTTACACTTGTCAAACTAATAAAAAAAAAAAAACTGGGAAAAATGAAAAAGCATTAATTCCTTGTTCTTTCACGGAGCACCACTGGAAGGTAAGTATAAAAAAATAAAAAAACTATCACCTCCCCCTGAGGGGGGAGCAGCCTTACCAGGCCACAGAAGAGGACAATGCAGCCAATTTTGATGAGAACTGATAGACTAAGATCAGAAAGGAGAGGAGAACCTCCCCTATCAGTGGACTTGGGAGTGGCATGCATGCAGAAAGGGGAGGGAGGGGCTTATGGGGGGGGGTACAAAATGAATAAAGTGTAATTAATTAAAAAAAAAAGAAAAAAATTAAAAAACTAAAAACAATAGCTAAACAACCAAAATTTGAGGCAGAAGACAGAACACAGAAGGTACTACACACTCTAATGTTCATCTTCCAGTGTAAGTAATCAATAAATACTATCTAAAGACGGTACCTCAAGAAACATGACTGTGCCTTTTTTGAGATTTACTTGTATTTATGTATATGTGTGTGGCAGGTCACACGTACGGGGGGTTGCCACGATGGCCAGGAGAGGGTATCAGGTCCTATGGAACTAGAGTCACAGGAAGTGAGCCACCTGATGCAGGTGCTCCAAACTCAATCTGGGTACTCGGGAAGAGCAGCAAGTGCTCCTAATGGCTGAGCCATCTCTCCAGCCCCATCAATGCGACCTGCAGAAGAACCACAAGTTTACCACCAACAGTAGAGGCTGCCGGGACTGGAGGGCAGGAAGCCGCACTTTTATACACTTTATTTTACACAATATGCACTTTCCTATTATGTTCATGGCCTCATACTGAACTTTGGTTTGTTAGCCTGTCAGTTAGACAGCTTCTTAAAAATCCTTCGTCTCTACACCTAACAGCCATGGACAGTCACCTTTGTAAAATGGTACCTACTCTAAAGCAGCTGTTTCCAACCTGTGGATCACTGCCCCTTTGGGGGTCAAACGGGGGTTGCCTAAGACCATCCAAAACCACAGATGTTTGTTATGATTCATAACAGTAGTAAAGTTAGAGTTATGAAGGAGCAACAACATAATTTTATGGTTGGGGTCATTACAACAGGAGGACTTGTACTAAAGGTCTGTAGCACTGGCAAGGTTGAGAACCATGACTCTAAGGTAAAATCTCTCTCAAATTATCAGAAAGTTCTTTTGTTCTTGGAAAAGGGGGTGTGGTTCTTTCAATCTTTCAAAGTTTGTTATGGATGACCATGAACCAAAATGACTAAAGCAGTTTTTATGTCAATTACCAACTTTTTTAAAAATTCCAAGAAAAATAAAGAAAAAAGTGTTCAGGGAGACTACCTTAAAGTCAAAACCTCTCTTCCCCGTGTTTTAAGTAAAAACAACATTAGTCCTACTCTTAGTCCTACAAGTTAGTCCCAAATCTGTCAATGTTACAGAGAGCGGAAGACAATACACAAGCCTTACTTGTAAGCATTAAAACATGGAGCTCAAGTTCTCTTTGAAATGAAAACAAGAAAGATATGAAAAAGGTCTGCTATCTTCACTGATCCCCTCAGGAATGTAAAAGCACGCACAGCACTTTTGAACCGTGTAGTACTTGAAGTTTTTAAAAGCAATTTATTCCTGCCTGGACAAGCAGTCAGGTTCTCTGTTTATCCCTATTCTCCCACGATGGCCTTTCACCTCACTCGTGCTTCTAAACTATCTCAAACCATAAGCTGAATTCAAAGGAAGGGAAGGGCTTTATGACAAGTCATGCTAGAAAATGATTTGACACAATGATCCCAGAACTGATTACTTTTGGCAGCCACATTAGTTTTAAACTTTTGATAGCCAAGTGAGTAAAGACCGTTTCTAGGATTTAAAGCCTCGACTTCTCTCACCTCTCGGTATCGCCCTAACCGAGGGCTGCCAAAATGTGGATCGGCACATTTGCCACTTAATTCTGACCGCATCTGAGGATCCAATGCACATCCTTTAAAAAGTAGTGCTAACTTTAACACCCATACTGACTCTCTCGGACTCCCTTCCTGAGCTCTCCCACGGTGAAGAACAGATATAAACCTGATTTACAAAATCAGAGGCTTCAGGCCTGTGGGTAATGAAAAGAGCCAGCTAAGTGAAGCAGTCCAGGCTTGCGAACCCACAGCAGTGGGCGAAGAGGCTTCCTTCGCCCTCCGCAGTCCACCCAGCCCCGAAACAGTTGCAAATTTCTCAGTCAGCTGATGTGTCCTCCCCGCTCCGGGAGCACCTACACTCTTCTCCGCCGACTCCTCGGAGACCCACACTCATCCGTCCCGGGGGCAGCCAGCCGCGCCCCTCGCCGCCCCCCACGATCGCCGCCAAGACCCCTGCCCGCCGGCCCGGGCCGAGCCCGCCCACGCTCGGCGCCCTCACTCACCCGCGGTAGTAGGCTTTCACCCGGACCTGGTGGGAATGGTCCCCGCCGCCGCCGCCCGCGACCGTGTGGGACATGGTGCTGCTGTCCCTCTGGGTCGGCATCTCCTCACTCCCCCGCCTCGCCGCCGGAGGCCGAGGGGGCCGGGGCAGCGCCGGGCGCCGCGAGGGTCTCGGCCGCCCGAGCCCGCCGGGAAGCCGTGCCGCCCAACTCGCCGAGCAGCGCGCCTAGCCCGCGGCGGGGAGCGAAGGGTCCCCCGGCCGCCACAGCCCGAACCTGGCGCTCCTCCCCGCGCTCCTCCCGGCGCCTCTCCCCGCGCTCCTCCCGCCGCCCCACGCTACACGCCTCCCGCCGCGGCTCCGCCCTCCACGCTCGCTCCCGTACTCCGCGGCAGGGCGGGCGCCGGAGCCACCGAGCCCCGGCGCTCTCACCCTCACGGGGGAGGCGAGGGTAGCACGGCATCCGCCGGCCTCCAGCCACGCGCTCTGAAACGGGGGAGGACTTGTAAACTCATCAGTTAAGTAGTGAAATGTAGCTTCTAAACAGAAAATTTTCTACAAACGAACCAAAAAACGCCCCCTAGGGCGCACACGTCCATGGTTGTTCCCCCCCATTATTCTTCTATTTGGTCTCGTCCGCAGAGAGCCCTCTACGCTTCCCGGATGGGTTTGCCGCATGGATTTCTGGGAGTTAGAGTCCCGGTGGGATTCTGGGACTTGTTCCTTGTGCGTAGGGAGCCTCGTTTTCTGACTCTGTCTGGTACCTCCCCGGGGTAGTTGTAGGCATGGAAATCCTAAAAAACAGCTTAAGGATGTGAGGGCTCTGGAAACAGAGCTTCGCCAAGAGTCTGTTTCCAGGTAAATTCTCTATACCAATTTCATCGATCATGAAATTAAGCAGGGCCCTTTTGGGGAAGTGATTACCTGCTCAGCACACTCTTTTACGGGAAAAATTTTATAATATAGGTAGCAAAAGCATTAGTGAATGCAACGAAAGAAGAAACCCAACTGGGAGATAGCACAGAAGAGATACTTATTCAGGGCTCCCATACCCAGGCCCCTATATGCTGCCATTCTATAAAACCAAGAGCCCAGTGAATATTTAACTAGCTTATCTGTCCAGTAGCATTTGTTTTACTTACACTAGCTAACCGAAAATTAGAAATAATCTATAACTTACTTTTAGACTTCCGCGGATCTTGGCTGTGTCGCTTAACTTACTCTACACTTAGGTAGCTTGAATCCAGCTACCAGGTCAGCCCAGATGGCAACATATGCAAACAGTTGAAATAATCTAATATATAGCTTTCTTTTGTTGTTGTTGTTTTGGTTTGGATTTTGAGACAGGGTTTCTCTGTGTAGCCCTAGCTGTCCTGGAACTCATTCTGTAGACCAGGCTGTCCTTAAACTCAGATTCGCCTGCCTTTGCCACTCTTGTGCTTGGATTAAAGGCATGGGTCGCCACTACCCAGCGGTTTTCTTTATCATAAAATAGACTTGGGTGCTTGACTCCTCAGCGCTACGATGTGTGACGCTTAGCTTGGTATGGTATCCATCCAACAGCCACAAATTTGGGGTATATGAAAATTCGTACCAAATAACATACCTTACTGACTATTAGAGACCTGCATCTTCATGTTAAATACGGATTGGTTGCTATCAACTGTAAGCTATATTTAAATAAAATGGGATTTTTGCTTGTTTGGTTTGGTTTGGTTTTTCAAGATAGGATTTCTCTGTGTAGCCTTGGCTGTCCTGGACTCCCTTTGTAGAACAGGCTGGCCAAACTCACATCGATCCAATGCCACTGCTTCCTGAGTGCTAGGATTAAAGGTGTGTGCCACCATCTCCCAGCTATTTTGCACTTTTTTTTGTTGTTTAATTTATTCTTAAATATTTTAATCTCTCCCATATCCACACTTTTCATCCTACCTCCCTTCCCACCCAACTTTGAGTTTTTTCCTCTTCTACCCCATCAAGCTCAGTTTGTGTTGCCCAACCTCTTTTGGGAGTAGGGCATGCCTTGAGTGTGCTTGACCTACCTGGAGTCAACACATCAAAGAAAGCTGACTCTCCCTACCTCAGCAGCTGTCGGCTGCCAGTACTCCTCTGCTATTGACGGGAGTTTCTGCCCATCTGCCCATCTGTGCTTTTGTCTGCTAGAGCTTTTGTGGGCCCTGTGCCCTCTGTCACATGTGCGACTGTTTTCTTGTGTCTGGGAAGTGCTATTTTCTTGATCTTATCTTTCACATCTGGTTCTTAAAATCTTCTGCCCCCTCTTCTTCACCACCTGAGCGCTTGGTGGGAAGGGTATAACTTATGCATCCCATTAAAGGCTGAACACTCTATAATTTCTTAGTCTCTTCACCTTGACCAATTAAGGGTCTCTCTGTCACTTACCACTTACCATCAGATGAAGACTGATGAAGGTTAAGAGATAAACTGTCCAACAAGAATAGCAATGAGTCAGTTTAATACTATGTTTATTTAGCAGAAAAAATAGTATAAAGTATTCTCTTTATAGGCATATGACCTATCTAGCCACAGGTTCTGGGCCCAGTTAACAGTTCCAGGAATGAGTCCAGTCTGAGATCCACCCTTAGAGCACAAAGTGGTTGGTTATTCCCATAACATTTATGTCACTATTGCACAGTGGTCATATTTTGTCAGGCCGGTCACTGTTGTAGTTTGCAAGGTTCACAGCTGCATGAAATTTATACTTAGTTTTCTCCTTCAGTAGCAGAAATACAACATTCTAGGCCTATGAAAGTTAGCCACTATGAATGAAGCTTCCAGGTGAGCATTGGCTTGATATCTCTGTATTCTGTGACCTTGGTATGTGGTGTTTTCAGCAGCAACAGGGTCTTACCTTCAGGTTCTGGAGGGTAATCAAGAATATTAGCGATTCTCTATAACACTTGGGGTGGGGGTGGGGGTGGGTCTATGAAATATTATTGGCCAACAATTCACAAAAAAAGTGACCCATTTATGGTAATGAGGTTCTTATTTGTTAGCATGTGGTGTCTAGCTGAGGTATTACCCTCTATCCCATTGCAGGGAATCTCCATTAAAATTATGTGTGTGTGTGTGTGTGTGTGTGTGTGTGTGTATAGAAGCTTCTACAGTAGGTTTCAAATTTGAGTAGATCCAAATAATTGAGTCCTTTTTTTTTTTTTCCTTTGCTGATTGAAATTTGTCAATTTTCTTGATTTTTTTGAAGACCCAACTTTTAGTTTCATTGATTTTTCTCTGTTTCCTGGCCTCCAAATCAGGAATTGATGCTGCAGTTCCTGTTTCCTCGCTTCTTACTGCAGTTGATTTTATGTTTCTCCCTGCTCATTAACATGGAAGCTGAAGGTAATGGCCTGAGATTACTCTTGCTTTTCAAAATGTAAGTGCTCATTGCTGTCAAAGAAGCTATTCTGAAGATTTCTTTAACTCTACCCATACATTTCAGTATATTATACTTTCATTTTCACCCATCTCACAATATTTCCTTGTTTTCTTGTGATTTCTTCTTTTCAGGAATATGTTGTTTAATCTTCACTTTTGTGACTATGCCAAATTTTTTTTTCTGAAGCTGGCCTCTAAATTCACCCTACTGTAGTCGAAGGACATGCTTTTAATTATTTTAATCTTTTCAGCTTTATTGCAGCTTGTTTTATAGGCAGTATGAGGTCTATCTATGAGATTATGCCATGAAGTTAAAAAGAATGTGTTTTCAGCTGTTGTATGCTTTTCTGCACTCCCAGCCCACTTTAGTGTTTTTATTAATGCCCTGGGGGAAACCTGTTCTACGGTGTTATTTATGATTTCTCCTCCTCCCCCTTCCCTGTCATCCCCTCTCCTCCCCTCCCATCCTCTCCTCTCCTCACTTCTCCTCTTCTCTCCTCTCTGTTCCCAAGGTTTTGCTGTGTAGCCCATGCTGACCCTCACAGCTCAGCTTCCCAAGTGCTAGTATTACAGACATGAACCACCAGGATCACTTTATTTATTTGTTTGTTTATTATTTTTAGTTTTCCTGTGGTTGTGGGAAGACTGTCCATAGGGTTTCCTTTATGTGCATGATAGCAATGTAATGTAGTTGAAAAGAGACAATGTCAATGCACAAACAGGTGAGTGGGACACAGAAATGTCATTTTCAGTAACAAACTAATAAAAAATGTTGAGGCAACTCTTTTTGTTGTTGTTTTTATTTTTAAACTAGTTAATTAAAGAAAATAAGATTCAGTAGAACAGAGTTGTTGGTTGGTTGGTTTTGAGACAATATCTCACTATGTAACCTCAGCTGTCCTGAAACTTACTGTGTAGATCACACCGGCCACAAATTCACAGACACTCACCTGCCTCTGCCTCCCAAGTGCTTTTAAAGGCATGGACCACTGGGCCAAGCAGTAGAAGAGTTTTAGAAAGACCAGGTCTAACTGAATGATATCTTAAGGAAACACGGCTTACTTTTTTTCAGATGAAGTTGCTTTGAAGAAGATGGTTCATTACCCTGATAGACTTTTCTACTCAGTCTGAATTAGCTACCAGTGTGCCCTTCAGCCGGGATCGAATGTGGAAACGTATTTATTCTGTTCTTCATATGACCATGAAAATCTGCCACTAGACTTTCAAAGTCTGTTTCTCAAAGGATACAATAGGGGAAGCCTCCCAGCTCGTTTTTCTGTTGCCTAAATTTACAGTGATGCTAAGTAATACCCTGGAAATGTAGTACAGCGGTAGAGCACTTGCCTAGCATTCATGAGGCTCTGAGTTCATTCCCCAGTACTGGGGGAAAGAAATCAGATACTTTCAACTTTGTATACGCCTGCCACTTTCTGTAGCTTCATTGAACCTATGACGACATCATTAAAGGGAGAGAAAAATATTCAGACTGGAAATGCTGATTATTTGGAGAGCTCGGGGACCTTACAAAGATAAGCATCAGCCACTGGGCTCAGTTATACTTGCCTCTGGCTGAGTGTAATACCGGTAGTAAGGGGAAAAAAAAATCAAACTCAACGTAAAAATCCATAAGCTTAAGAGATTTAAAAATATTATTGGCAAATGTTCTGTCATTTTACAGTCTACAGAGAGTTTGTCCCAATGTGGAACAAAAGAAAAATAGCCTGTTTGGAGAACAGTGATTGAGAGGACAAGCAGTGGGACACAGATCCTGCGCGGTCAAGCTTTCATATCACATTGTTTTACTTTAGCTTCGAAGGTGGGGCTGCGCTGGGGTGCAAAACTGTATGTGCATGTTTGTGTGTGTCGAATCCAGAAGCCAACCTCAGGCGTCATTCCTCATTCAGT